ACGATGTTTATAAGCACGCACACATACAAAGCGGGTGGCGTGACTATTCTCCTCGCAGGAGCGCCGAACCGTTCAATTCCATGCATGCGTTTGGGAAGAAGGCATGTCGAAAGTTTTCGCGCCACTTTGTTGTAAAATTTTGCGGTCCGAAAATAAGAAGTAAGTAAATTTTACTCGATAGTTTTCAAATGTAAAGTTAATAAAATTATTGCCTAACTATTTGTGCGCAATCGTCAAATCAATCTTTGTTGATTAGCCTGCAGATTTTTAAATAAATTTTAAATATTTAGAAATGTCAATCATCGGGTAATACGGTTGGGACGGATTCCCCATCAATTTATTTGTAAAGTTTTCATCTAAATAGTCAGTGTCATTAAAAGTTTTAGTATTTTATTGTTTCAGGGTAATTGCAAAATGCTGCCAAAACATGTAAAAGCGCGCATAAAGGCGAAATGGAGCAAAAAATCATTGGAAGCTGCTTTTAAACTAGTTGAAGATGGAAACCCGATAGAAGCCGCCCGATGTACTGGCATTCCATTTTCTACAGTACAAGAGAGGCTGAAAAAGAAAAAGAACAAGTATGGCCTCTCAAATTAGACTGCTTGCGAATATATTTTACGGGTGTACTGCTATAGAAATAAGGAAGATGGCTTTTAAGTACGCAGAAAGAAATAACATCAAGCACAACTTCAACAGAACTTCAGAATCAGCTGGTAGAGATTGGCTTGAGGGGTTTTTAAAACGAAATAACTTATCAGTGCGTAAGGCTGAAGACACAAGCTTAAATAGAGCTTCTGCTTTTAACAGAGATGAAGTAGGAAGATTTTTTGACTTGCTGGGAAACTTGATGCAAAAATATAAGTTTCCACCTCGAAACATATATAATGTGGATGAAACTGGCGTAACATCGGTACACGATCCTGGCAAAGTTGTAGCCGAAAAAGGCCAAAAACGAGTGGGCTCTATTACCAGTGGGGAAAGGGGCCAAAATATTACGGCAGTATGCGCTATGAGTGCCACAGGGCAATACATTCCTCCAATGTTTATTTATCCACGTCAACGGCATTCGACAGCATTGGAAAATGATGGACCACGTGAAGCAGTATATAGGTGTTCCAAAAACGGGTGGATAAACGAAGAGCTCTTTGTAGAGTGGCTTAAGCACTTTACGAAATATGCAAAACCACGGAAAGTGATCCGGTTTTGCTCCTCTTAGATAATTATTCTAGCCACATTTTGGAATACTTTTGCAAAGAAAACCACATTGCGATGTTGTCTTTGCCACCACACGGATCTCATCGAATACAGCCATTGGATATTTCCATTTATGGTCCCCTTAAAACCGCATATAAGCAGGAATGTAACATATTTATGAAATGCAATTTGGGACGAAAAATTACACAAGGTGACATAGCTTCGCTTTTCAGAAAAGCATTCCAAAGAGTAGCAACAATTCCGAAAGCCGAAGCAGGATTTACTGCTTCAGGGGTATATCCTTACAACCCAAATATATTTACCGATGAAGATTTTCTACCAGCTGATATAATGAACAATAGCGAACTTCTTGATGAAGAGAGGTGCGATCATGATAATCGAATACAAGATTCCCCATCTCTGCTTGACGATTCAAAAGCAACCTTACAAATCTCTCAACCCAACTTAAATGATCACCACGATGCCATATTATCTTCTGAAATGCCTCCTGTTGCATTACGCAACGCAACACTTTCGCCTGCCATTCCACAGCTCGACCTAGATTTCGAAAACCTAGACTCCACAATTAACGATATCTCTCATATTGATTTGCATAATGTAACACCACCATCTTTAAATGAAACCGAGTCCAATGTCAATGGAATATCTTCAGTCAAAACCCATATTGAAAAATTGAAAGTTACTGTGAAGGATCTTCTTCCTTTGCCAAAAAAATCCGAACAGGAAAATATAAAAGCGATGCGGAAACAACATGCTACGGTAATAACACTACGAATAAAATAGTTTTATTTGAAAAAGAGCAACAAGAAGTTAGCAAAGGAATTTGAAAAAGGTAGATAGAAGTTGAAAAAAGAAGAAAAATAAAACAGTGGAAATAGAAAAAATATTACAATAAAAAAGGAGAGAACAATGAAAACTACAAAGGTAAAAAAGTGAACAAAATGGATTATAGTGAAGATGAAACTGATCCTACAAGTGAAGATCTGGATAGCAAAAAAGAAAATAATCGTAAAAAACCAACAAGAATGAAAAGGAATTTGAAGAAAGGTATAGAATTGAAAGGAGTGAAGAAGAAAGTGTTACAGAATGAGTCTATGAACGAAGACAGTACTTTAAACTCTGAAATAGAGATGCCAGATTTACGCGAAGACGATGACACGGATTTAGACGATGTCGGGAACAGATGTATTAATCTGCGATGACTATGGACGAGACAACGAGTTGTGGTACAGATGTATATTGTGTGGACGTTGGGCCCACTCGGAATGTTTAGGACGTGACTCTGCAAAAGATTATAAACGTGATTTATGCTCTCATTACGCTTGACCGGTATTAACCAACAGCTGACTGGTTTTACCTTACATTGCGTGTAATACACGTTTCAGTCAAACACGTTTTATTTTTAAATGTTTATTATACCAAAACTATGATTACTAGTGATCTGAATTAAAGTGCCATTAATAGTAGAATAATTATATTCGAGATTGTGATTAGTTCTATAAAGATATGTTGATTTATATTCGTTTTGTGTTAATTTTTCCTTAAGTGACCGGCATTACCCCATTCTACCCTATTCCATCAACTGTCGGAAGTCGCAAAAATCTCCTGGACATATTCCTTAGTCAAATATTATGTTAAAGAGATGGGATCTAGGAGATAATTCGATTTCCAACTCTTCTCAACATCAATTTTGTCAACACTTAGCTTCTAATATAAGTTGTATTTCCTACTTAAATAGGACACTACTAAAATATGAAGTATGGTTACATAACGCGCACTTATGGTGCGCGTTTCTGGCAATAAAAATACCTAAATCTATATTATACAATATACTATATAACGCAAAGAATTTAGAAATCATAACTCAATTATTGCTATAAATCAGTATTCCAGTCTTGAAAAACGAGGGACGTTCAAAAATAAGTGAAACTGCTTAAAATAAGAATGAAAATAGTACAAAATTTCCAGATTACACTGGCAGAAAATGCCACATGGCATTAAGTCCACCCTATGTACCCTTTACTTTAAGGTGTTACATTTAAGCTTTTAAATAAAATAAGAGTTCCAGATTTAAATTTTACTGGTTGCATCAAACTCTAAAAAGCTCTCACAGCAGCTGTTATTGTAAATCAAGTTTTACGGGATACATTAGGAGTAAATGTTCTGGCCAATACTACAGTTAGTATATATAACTAGCGCACGTTAGTGCGCCGAAATTAAGCATGGAAGAACATTCAACATGACCCTCTCTCGGGACGCCCTTTGCTAACGAAGAAGTGTTGTGTGAAGCAAATCATCGTGTCACATAAATTCTTGTTGCTGATGAAAAAAGATTACAAAAGGAATAACAACTTGAATATATGAATAATATTTTACATTGTTGCTTGGGAATGAAAAAATAATCTAGAAAAATCTAAAATGCTAACCAATACCAATAGACAGACCAAAATGAATAATTCCTGAGGTTTTTCGAAACTGCGATCCTGTTCGTTTTTTTAATCGATTTATGATAATGAAGAAAAAACGAAACTACATCCTAACAATTCCAAACAAACGAACGGACATACATTCTATGAATTGGAGCCGCCATTTTCACCTCCCTAAGAAATTCAAGGAGTACTTCCATCGGAAAGATTGCGGGTTATCTTTTCAACGAATCGAAATCGAATATCTCCGTCATAGGAAAAATGTGACGGACTCAGAACAAATAAAATCCACGAGAATCGGCGAGGCAAGCTCACAGAGATCGTTTTGTTTCATCAAGAAAACGCTCAGGCCCACAAGTCCGCCGTTGCGATTACTTCAATTTGAAATACTGACTTTAAGAGAGATTTCAAGATGATAAAACAGTTGACGCTGCAATACAAGAACTTTAGATGCTCAGGATTAGGAGTTATTTACTAAGGGAATTTTAAGCTTAGGAAAAAAAACATTAAATATATATTAAAATTAAAGGTGACTGTCGAAAAAAATTAATATTTAATGAAAATTACCTGTAACTCATTCAAATTCTTTCTATTGAACGCCCCTTGTAACATTATTTGTACACATCACAACCAAAACAAATACCTATGCCATAAATTGTTGAAACTATCTTTTATTTCACAGATAAATAAGTGTCAAAAAATTTAAAACCTACTAGAGTGAATTTTTTTCATGATTCTTTTCACTATAATATACATATTATGTAAAATAGTACCTATAGAAAATCAAACTGCATCTATATAATAGATTCACATTTTAGGCAATATGAAATAGAAACATTTCTGAAGAGAACACTTTATAGCTTTAAAACAAATTGTTAATTTTTGGAAGTACATACCTAACAGAAGATGCCCCCACTGCTAAGAAAACACAGTGAAGAGGCGCATCTCGATCGCGCGTCGAATATGCCTTGACTTCGTTTTACCTCGAGTTAACGTAGGCAGCTTTAAATAAATTTATCAGCTGCGTTTATCTCTTTGAACGATACGCCTAATGATTTATCCAAGTTTCAAGAATCCATTCCGCAAATAAAATCGTGTTGTAATTATGGCAACACCGTCGTGAAACAAAATATTATTATTGTTTACATACAAAAAAAACATTATGCCAGTAAAACATAAATTAAATATATTATTAAGTATCACGTTTTCATAAATATCGTAAAAAATTACACTAATCCAACTGGATACTAAGAAAACAGTCTAGAATGAGATTTTGCAAGTTGTTAAAAAAATTCCTATGAAATAGATATACTTACACGTTTTTACAATATTATTTATCTAGATATGTTCAAAGTTTATCTACACATTTTGTTGATTCTCATTGAAAGACTTAACAAGGATTTGTTCAGGCAGAGATATATTGAAGGCAGGTTTTCCTCGATTGATAAGTAACTCCGAAGCGTCATGATTGTGGAAGCCCTTAACTTCTATTATATGGGATCCTGATGTCTTAACCACAGCTTTACAGCATTTGTATGAATGGGTAGAGCAAGTCCATCTTATAATACCGTTTCGCACTGAATGTCGGCAGTAGGTGTACTTATTGAAGACGATTAGTGGTTTACCTCTGAGAGACTGAATAAAAAATGCGGGCGCTATTACTCCTGAAAACAAATTTTTGCATTAGTTTAGCATTAAATATCTCATTATGAACTGCGACTAATCAGTTTAAGATGAAACAATACTCATTAGTGAATAAGAAATAAAAGCCATGAAAATAATACTAAAATATGATTTATTATGATATCTTTATTTTACAATTTTAGAGAGCGATGGTACAAAAGTTTCATAATACTGAAAATATGATTATGCTACAATATTTGTACTAATAATTGTACAAAAAATCGAAAATAATCATAGTTACTAAAATAGACAAAATAAAAAGGCAAGATTTACTAAACAGAGATCACGTTTATCACAAATTAAGCACCCTATTCCAATGCAACAAGTTACAAACATCTTGGCAAATATTACATTCTAAAATTAAGAAATTATAAAATATATCTGCACTTGTATTTTATTCGCTTTTCTAATACTCGCATAAAATAAACAAATCCTGTTTATATATATTATTTGATAAATAAATAAAAAATGACTCAACAAAACAAATAAATAATGTACACTGCGTTCTATTCAATAATGTCTATAGCCTTTTTAAATATTATTGTTCTCAATGTAACTAAAAAGTAAATTATATAAGCGAACTTTCTTTGTTAAAATTATATAAAATTATTTATAAAATATTAAACAGCTTGTAGACAATCGTTCGGTCCCTTCGAACCGGATGATACTCGTTATAATGATACAAATAGAAAAACTTCATTAATACATAAAACTATTCAGGGTAAAACAATTTCAATTTAACTTATTCTAAGGTACTGATATCGTCAAACGAAGAACTCCGTCGGTGGATGGTTGTGAAAATTCTTCGCAAATACTAACTTGTCTCGATCAGTATACACTCTAGCTGGACATCCATGGTTGTTGTGCGTGTAGCAATACCAACAACTCCTGTCGCCGGTGCATATTTCCCTCGTAAATGTAAAGTCGCCAAGTTTCATTAGACTCTCGCCATCACGTGAAAGCATAAACTTTACTGAAAGGTACATGCTTTGGTAAGAATTATAATATTAAAGTACAAATTACATACTTTCTCTTTTTACTGAAGGACATTCCCTAATTAGATCTCCGGTTTAGTTATTAGTGTATTGGTATGTAGGTGTCAGAATATCCACTACCTCATATCATCCGGTGAGATACTTAAGATGCGACAGAGATATAACTTCATATTATACATATGTGTGTACTGCGTAAGAATAGTCACTACCCCATATGATCGAGTGGGTGTTGTAACTCTGCAGTCTATGAACGTGTTCAAGATCGTCCCCATCATTACATCAGATTTGATAAAACCACAAATCCTCGCAAAAGAACACCGATTCCTACCAAGGATGATACGCGAGATCTTCAATAGAGAAGATGGATGGGTGCTGCCATCTGCTTAGGGGGTAGCGGGGCTAACTATGACGTTGGGACGTCAAACATCTTAGTCCCCCCGCCGTGACCATGGGTGCTGTAAAGCAACCGAAACGTCGGGAATTAAATATAAGTTAATATAAGTAAATTAAACGCGATAAAATTCATATATATCGTTTTATTCAATGCCGCAGGCTGTTGTAAAACGGCAGAAGAGAGAAAATTGAACAGGAGATGGCAGCAGCTCATAATAATAAAAAGCGTGGCAACTGGCAAATATCCCCCCCATGAGGCAATCTAAGGGGAGACCTATGTTCAGCAGTGGACTTTAATAGTCTGTAAAGATAACGGTTAGTTATTAGTATCACAACATACGTAGACGTAGAGAACGTGGAGAAAATCAAATTATATTTATCTAATATAAGATTAAGCGTAGGACCGCACTAGGCGGAACTGCTCCGCAGCGGAACTGAGCGACACGAGTTGGTCAGTTGACAACTTTGCCGCGCAGTTCTGCTGCAGTATAGTTCCATTGCCGCTTAATGCGTGTTGTCTCGTATAATTGCATATTTAAAGAATATTTTGACGCGTCGTATCGCTCAGTTCGGCTGCGGTGCAGATCCGCCTACCCTAGTGCGGTCCCACTTTTAGGTACAACTAAAGGAATTCTTGTAACTTTTGATAGATGACGGAATAATAATGTCAGGAAAAGCCGCTCTCTAAAGCAGCTCTTAGGTTACACAAAAGTAACGACCTAGTATGTAAGTTTATATCTCACTTACCTATGTCCGATAATAATGTGTAGGTGATGAGGAATGACGAGTAACTAGAATGAAAACTCAAACATTTCTTCGTGACACCAAAGATTTGTCTAAGTATGTAGGAATAGGTAATTCATTTATGATTTATTGTGATGGTTAGTTCATAATTTGAATACAACGTTAGGAGTGAAATTTAACTGTTCTTTGAAGATACCACTTTTTTCGCTCATGACTGTACAAACTAATAAGAGCACCGCAATTTTTCCGCATTTGCTGAATACAAAACGGGAGACTGAAGAATGTACTCCTGTGTAACTAAGCCTTTTATGTTGTTGTTTATCCAGTAAGACTTTATGCTACGTAATCTTAAGGCTATAAGTACTTATGAAAAAAAAAGTCTTTACAGCGGGGTTAGCAAAGTTAACGCTAAAAGAAACATTAAAAATAAATATGCAATCAACATTTAACAAGCAGCTACATACGTGAATTATTGTTAAGACATGTGTACTTATGTTTATTTTTATAGTTTTCTATTATTAGTCACCATAAAGTTTATGGTGACTAATAATAGAAAACTATAAAAATATGGCATAAAGTCACCTTGGCTAACCCCTCAGGATTTTCAAAAAACATTAATTGTACATTGAATAAATATGGATTATTTTTATTCAAGGTATAATTAATAAAGTAAAATTTATTGTATTAATATTAATTATACAATTTCTATTTAATGTATAATTAATGTTTAACTGTATTCTATGGAAGTTCAGATCAATATCGGACAAATAGTTGAAAAAATAACACTAATTTATTTCATATGAGAATCCATTATGAAGATTTTTTTATTACAAGTTTACAATACTGTATAAATAAGCACTGTTAGTAATTAACAACTGTGATGTAAGTGTAAATATCATATTTAAACTATACATCATAATAACAATATATCATAGTTAAACAATAAAAAAGATTAAAGTAAAATTAAATACATAACATACATAAGGACATGCCTCTCCCTTTGCATACCTATCCATGAAATAAAAAACCAAAATTCATCATTTATTTTTAAAGTTAAAAATCATATTTCATAACAATTTCAAACAGGGGTATGTAATAAGAATTAAGAGCTACTTAAGTTATTGTTTTTAAGTTGTTGCAAATTTGCTGTACTTAATTATTATCTACATGGTTTCCATATCGTTGCATTTACTACAACAGCTGATATATATTTTGATAACTTCTTTAGAAATGTTACAATATTTAGTTTTTAATTCTTCATCCATTCTATCTTTATCAGGATGATTAAATAACAAATGTATAGTATGTAATACACCAAACAATTCATCTGTAGCTACATAGAACTTTATGTTGGGATTGGATTCATCCTTCGGTTTTATTAATCTTTCTTTTTCATTTACTTCCAATACATCATAATTACTTAACATTTTATAGTCGTCAAAGTCTTTGTTCCATTTTTGTTTGATTTCCTTAATTTCTCTAATGAAGTCTTGATATCTTTCTCTATTTATAAGATATATGCTATTGCTGCGCTTACGATTTATTAGCTTATCAAGCTTTTCGGTGAATTCCTTCTTCATTGGAGCTATAATGTCTACGGAAAACAATTTCACACCTGCAAATGAAACATTTTTGAATATTTTTAATGTTGTTATTTCTGATGAAAACTGTTAAAACTTTAATAGACTTACTATGAAAATATTGATGAAATTTAAGTGGCGGTGGCATCACACGAATAAATGAAATGAAAAACAAACCAACAAACATTTTTTCAACAAAATGAAAGAAAAGGCTTTATTTGTTGATAACTATAAAATATTTAAAAGAAATAAAACTAAATAAAACAATAAATTTTTAAGGTCATTTAAATTTTATTCAATATAATATAATAGAAAGATTCTTATCTGCTTTATGTCAATTTTTTTGATATTTTATTAAAACTACATTATTATTATTTTTACTACTATTTTATTTACTATTATCATTATTACTACTATTTTATTTAAACTACATGTTTGTTGAAAAAAAACTCCTTACTTTAATCTACTAGTTATACAAAGTGAAAATAACTAGAATTTTATTGAGAAAAGTTTAACAAGCATCCCCCATCAGTGAAAAGTTACAGAACCTTCCAGTTAAGAGATTTGTCAGGTTTTGGAGTCTACAGGGAATATACAAGGAATATACATAAGTCCAATAACACAGAGCAGAGATAAATAGCGCTGTGTATAACAGCACACAGCACTATTTACCAAAAGCATTTTTCTTGCTGTACAAATTGCTTTCAAGCACACTGTCTGTGTAAACAAATGTCTGTTTATATGCTAATACTTGCACATTACTTATTTCTTTCTCATAGAAGAATTATCAATTACCACACTAAGGATTTCTCCTACATAATGGAAAGGTTTTCGATAGATTAATTTCAGATAGACTAACAAAGTCCTAACATGAGGAGTAAAGCAATCCTGTATAAATTATTTGAAGGCCATACAAATTCTCAATTCATGCAGAAATTGAATCCCCGCCTACCAAGATCTGAGCCTGCTGCACCATCAGACGATCTTCTTTTTGTCACATTGTCAACTCTCTCAAAGTCTCTCACTAGTATTGCAACTTATTAAAGTCAAAAGTAAAACATTGTGAGGGAATCCGCATGACTGCGAATACATAAATATTTCTAGGACAGTTCACCAACATAAAAACGGGTTGATTAAGTAGCTGAGCAAGTCTAAGTGGTAGTATACTTTTGCAATTATACGATATATTATTATGCAGAGTAATAAACAGTTAATATGAATTTTTGTTGGGTATTCAAGTTACTGTTGCTTAAACCGGGTTTTCGCTATATGAGTACTCTCGGACCGAGTAGGCTCATACGAGCTACATCGTATAGGAGTCCACTCTGATCTTGGTTGACACCTTCATCAGAGCCAAAGTAGCATTTAATTTTGTCTCTTTGTAAGCGATGACGACTGATCAACTGCTGCGAGGTATGTTGAGGTTACGAATGATGCGTTGTATTGCAGCATTTCTTGCATCTTTGTTTTTATATTCAATTAATTTAACGTTCCACAACACTTCTTCCGCTTCATATAGTTTCACAAACCTCAGAATAACATGTTCGTTCCACTTTTTTTTATTTGGCGCCATTTTGTTATCATAAAATTATCCGAGTGTACTCGTAAAAATAGAACCTCATCAGACTCTACTCTGATCGGATGATGCTGTCCGAGTAAGCTCGGATTACGTATTTACACACTATGGAGTAGGCATCCGAGCGCACTTGGTCTGAGAGTACTCATATAGTGAAAACCAGGCTTTTTAATATTTCATGGTTAGTTTGTTAGTTGTCAAATTGTCTTTTTACCAGACAGTGCGATGCAAAGGAGGGTTATGTGTTGATAAGCCTATATATGTATGTTTGTTCCTTTTGTGGCCCTCTAGGAGCAAAACGGGTGTATATATGTCAATTAATTTATCTTAATCTTGCAAGTGTCACTAAAACATGACTGTAAACAGATTTCAATATGGCGACAGAGGTTATAATCTAAAAAAGAAACAAGTCCAAGTGGGGTCAAGTGAGGTATCATTAAATAGGTTAAAAGTGTTTAGGTTTCTCTAATAAATTTTCATTTTTATAGGCCATTTCAGATCTATAATGACTTAAAGTTGATTAGCAACCATTGTGACTTAAATTTTTAAAACTTATATTCTTATTAACATGAAAAATAATGATTCACTTTTCAAAATAACAGTTTACCAAGTTGGGTTTTTTAATTAATGTTTTAACCATTAAGCTTGTTATCAAGTTCATCTATAATAGAATAGATAATGTGCATGTATTTTAGTCATAGATATACATACAAACAGTTGATGTACCATTCAATAAATAAATAACCACACATTGGAGCAGTAAGGGTGACATACGAGCACACAGTCCACGCAACAGCAAGGATGTCTCGGCATTTGCTTGCCGTTCACGGGTTTCTGTGGGTGTCAGATGTCTACAGACATCTACATCTATCCCCAATCAAGAACTAAAATGCAGAAGCGCTATCACCCCTGAGGATTAAGATAGAATGCCTTGTTTCCAGTAAAAAGGGTCTCCAGTTCTCAAAAATCACCATACGAAACAAAGCAGCATTAAGGAGGTATTTTACACTGGTATTCTGTGAGTGCGTGGTCCTCCCCCAATTCAGCTGATCCATTTGTGCTACAACTATATAGCTGCAGCAAGGCTCTACCATGTATAAAGTTTCCTCCCCTAAGAATCACAGAATGAACCGTAACCTTACATTGTTACACATAAAAGAACATAAGGTATTATCATTACATTTCTGATATATAAGTCATGGTATTTAAAACCACATATGAATCCATTATCCATTACAGCCTATAAAAGTTCACTACTGAGCTTTGGCCCCTCATAGATAGCCTAACAGGGGGGATTTTGCCATGCTTGGCAGGTAGTTTGGCAACTACAGTTTTCTATTATTATGAGTTGTTATCAGAAAGATGCTGACACCCATCTGTTTCATTTGCCCTTAATATGAGGTAGTGAAATATTTTACTCATAGTAAATTTTATTGAATGGGTGGAAACTAGTTTGTGTCCCAGCGGGAACAACGAAATTTTTAATTAGAATTTTAAATGTATTTAGGACATCCTTAATGATGAAGGAAAATATAATGAAAATACCTTGTTTCAAAAGCTAAAAACTTCTCAAAAAAATCTAAAACCAGTCATCATACATTGTGGCAGCAAAGTTAATCGTAATACCAGGCCCAGCAATATACCTACATTCTGGAAAAATCAAAGAAAGATACAGACTATATCAAAATTATTTTATTCAGTATTTTAATAGTAAATATTACTTAATTAAAACATTTTTAATTTGAATACTGGTTTAAAAAATATTGTTGTAAGAAGAATGAACAGGAAACCCTGTGGCAACAAAAATCTTATTAAAATATGAGTCTATTTTAATAAACAGACACCACTGGGTACATACAATTATATTATTTGTTTATGTTTTATGTGGCAATATAACACAATAATCAATACTATTATTGTATTTATTCTAAATACTTTTATTTTAATCTCCTGATACGAGTTTACCTAACAAAATATAACAGCTTAAATGATGGTAAAATACATACTTTTAAATTGACAATAATTTAGAAATATTTCAATAAGCACAAAATACAGAACTTGATCAGAATTATACAATAATTAAAACTATTAGTACAGTACTAAGGTCGTCTTACGTTATTTATGTTTTATATTGTTTGTAATGAGTTCACAAAGCATCTAACTAATATAAAACGAAAAGTAGTTAAATTATTAAGACAACAATTGTTTGAGTTGCTCATTACAGGTGTAATCATAAAATTATACTATATAATTACTTAACACGTGCAAAAAAATTAAAATAAATGTAAATAAATCACACCGCTATGTAGGCTTAAGTTTTTTAATTGACAGAAATAATTCTACATTACCGCATTCTAAGGATGTTACAAGGTTCAAGTAGTGACTTACTATGGCTTTATTTGTTATATTTTAAAATCACATATCACACCACAATCACAAACATATTACACAGTTTTAAAGGTTATGTTACGTCGGTATAAACATTAGTAAACCACAAAACTATTTGTTCTTTTAACAACATTAAATTAAACTTGGTATGTACACACTTAAATTTTACGGAAAAATTGTAATATTAATATTATGTTCTAATTATATACATAGTTTTATTAAAACATTTGTTTTTATATAAAAACTGTCAGATCGCTGTCACAAAAATGTTGTTGTCACGATTTGCTTATAAAGGCGGGTAAAGGTCGTAGACCATACATCCTAGTCTCTGTGCATTATCTTCACATTATGTGGATTGTCTGGTTTCTGATGAAACATCAAGCTGTAAAACAACTGTAAAAGCCAAAAGTTAAAGCTTACTGTTAGACTTTTGGCTTTTACAGCTTTGTAGGTCTCATGGCCCGCGGCCTGAACGGCCGCGAGCTGTAAGTATCCTAATTAATTATTTGTTGTGGCATTTGCAACAAGGTCTTTAGTTAAAGGAATACATCAAGCGCTGTGAGACATTTTCAATACGAATACCTGAAGTGTTTACCAGATGAATCAACAAAAATCTTTGGAGGGAGATGATTGTGGTCCGTTCGATAAAATTTAATTTTGTTATTTTTGCCGAGATGTACTTTTGCTTTACACTGTTTCGAACTCTGTTTTGTGCAATACCAAGTGTTCGTTTGGTGATTTTGAAAAAAAGAATAGCCTTCAAATATCATCAAGTTCTTATTGCTTCTGCTTGATGGAATTAATGAATATTTAAGATCTGAAACGAATTTAAAAGTAAAATTGTAGCCGGTATAATAAGTTCACTGCGTTCGAATTTATCAACAGTGTTCATTTTTATAGTAGGGTGACAAATTCGCACATAATTCACGTGTTGGTAAATGGATCACATTGCTTATGGACACCTAGGTACACCTAGCCTCGATTACGAGTCAAAATTTAGATACTTTACTTTACTTTATTAGTACTATTAACCCCGAGGACTAAAAAATTGATTTATTAATTACACCAATGCTACTAAACCGGGTGTATCATGAATCCTTCCAGTACCGTGGGCATGAATTCATGCAGCTATACCGTGCTGCTATTTTCATCTTAATCCTAATAACAAGACAGTGTATTTTCAA